TTTTTTTTTTTATAATTTTTATTGGTTTTACAGAAAAAAAATTCCAAAAAAAATACAAAAATACAAAAAATTCGACAAACCGAAAACAGCAATGTAATGGCAAAAGCAAACAGAATACTTAATATCCATAACAAAAAAATGAAAAAGAAAAAAAAAAAAGAGATGCTGAGGATTGAACCAGGGACCTTCTGCATGCAAAGCAAACATTTTCCCACTGAACTATGACCCTTCCCCTTAAATGTATAGCATGCTTTCATATATATGCTGGCCCGATTATGCTGTTTAGCATAATGCTGATTGAGTTAGCTACAAACAAACAGTGGTGCTCTGCTAGGAAATGTCACATTTGTACACTCAGTTCCCCTCTTCTCTTTTATAGTGTGTGTGTGCTGAACTAGAGCCTTCAGCAAGCACTCTTCAGTGGTACAATTTTTCCTGCACTATGACTCTCCTGGCTTCTCAGAAGGCCAAGCAACCTAGACCTAGGCCCACCAAGCAGTCCTAGTTGGCCTGTGAGACCATTTTCCCAAACTACCCCCACCTATCAGCTGATGTCAGTGCGGAGCAGGGGCACACAGCCAAACTGAGCAGGATCTAATCCCTGATGAGTTCTGCTGGTGTGTTTTCATTGTGCCAACTTCACCACCACCTTGCCCCTCCTCCCAGTATGCCACAGCTTGGTGGTGTCTGGATGTCAAGTACACAGTACCAGCCAAATGCGACTGGTGGTGGAAGTGGTTGGAATACACCTTCCCAGATGAAAACAAATGCCCTGGGATGCAAGAAATGGCCTCTCAAACCATTTCCATTATATGAGGACTGTCTTCACCTTTAATGAAACTTGGCCTCAGGAGTGGAGCAATGTGGTTACCAAATATGGCTGGGAATACTGGTGGTGAGGTTGGTGATAATAGTTGGCTAGCCAGACTGAGGCCATCATATCACAGTTGGGGACGGGTGAGAGAGCAGTGCATATGATAGAGAGGGAACTAAGAGCTGGAAGAGAGCATGAGTACAGTATATGGTGGGATAAGAAGCAGCTAGAATTATTACCACCTCAAAGAGCTTTGTTGTGCGTTATCTTCAAAGAAGGCAGTACCATTGATTTTATATGAGACTTGACAGATAACACTGGTGATTGTCTAGACAACATAGCTCTGTCTTATGTAACGTTGAAGAAGAAGAAAAATGATAAGGAACACTGGTTTTTATGTGTTCTGAGATGCTTTGACATTGGTTTCCTTTGCTACTACATCTCCATAAATATATTTCAGTCGGCTGCTCCACGTGAGATTGCAAGGATGAGGATGATCTGAGGTCATGCAAAATGAGTAGCTTACCAAAATGGGGAGAGGCAAAACGCAAAGGAAGCCTCCTTTAAAATATAGCGTGGTGAGCAATCTTAGTTCACATGAACAATAAATCTTATGGTAGAAGCTAAAATATATTAAAGTGGTCGTTTATTTGACACATTGTAATAAATGAAGTTCTGTGTTTCATGCTTTTTTATTACTTCTCGAGGGCTATAACAAAATGCAACCATTGTAAATTTTCCAGAGTTGCACATATATATTCTTTGTGAAGAGATTTACAATTTTTGATTCTGATCTTCCTTGTGTTTTTAATCCAGCAGTTACCTAGAAACAAATCAAAACAGATTTCCCAGCAGTTATAAAACTGTCAAGTGATTATATAAGCACAGTCCTAGAGGGTAGGTTCCCCCTCCCCACAAAAAATTAAAACAACAACAACAAAGAAAATAATGTTGCTGTGGTAAAGTTCTACTGTCAGATACCTGGGTTTCATTCACTGTTTTGTTTAGTATTTGCACTCATAGCCTTCATTGAATGATCCCAGAGCAGTTTATTAAATATCACAATTAAAGGAAGTGCAATTTACATTGTGGTTGAATGAATAGTTGGTAGTATAAAATGCCAAGCTCTCAGAGGAATCTTAAGTAGAAGAAAAGTGCTTACTTATGTTCCACCACCAGAGACACTCATCAGAAGCTCAGCTGTGGTTGACTGGCAGCCTTCTTGCAACCATGCTGCACTTCTGGACAGTTGTCCACACTGGGGTGAACAGTGCTTTTAGGCACGATTCTGACTTTAGTAATCAAAGGTCATTTTTACCCCTTTCCAATTTCTATGTGATTCCATAGTATTCCAGAGGACTGGGCAAATGACACCAAAGGCTCAGTTTCTTGTTGTCAAATGGGCCTTCACCAACTTGGGGAATGACCAAGGATGCTCCTGCAGACGATTTAGTGTCACAATTACATTTTGCACTTTTCAACACATTCAAAATATTTTATTTGCAGCTGTATAGCTGAGTCCTGAGCTAAGGGTTCAGGCTATCCCTGAGGTACCCTGCTCCCAAGTTGTTTAGGACTTTGTAAATTAATACAAGAAACCTTGAACCTGGCATGGTAGCAGATGGGTAGCCAGTGCAGCTGTTTTAACAGTGGTGTCCACATGTTATTAATGAGATGTCCTCATCAGCAGTCTGGCTGCTGCAATTTGTACCAGCAGGAGCTTCTGAACCAGACCCAAAGGCTGCCTAACATATATCACATTATAGTAATCCAGCCTTGCGAACTACAGTTCCCAGGAATCTTTGAGGGAAGCCATGACTGCTAAAATGGTATAAGAGTGTTTTAATTGTATGGTATGGATGTTAAGAAGCTCAGTATAAGCATATAATACACAATAGGTAGAATGTATGATGGAGCACAAAAGGTTTGTTGCCATTTCTTTGAGACAAACTCATTATTTGCTTGTGGTAAAGCCAAGAGTGGCTTATGTAGGCCATTGGAAATGTGTGGCTTAATAAAACACCTATATCATCCCCATTGTGTACCATGCCTCTACCACATGTTTTAGGGGAAAATAATCACAATATTCAGGAGATTTCTTTTCCTTTTAGTTTTATTAGCAACTCCCTTCTTTTGGTATCCTTCCATCTGAAAAGCCAGATGTCTTAGAACCATGAATCCTGCCAGTAAACTCTAAAACTGCCTACAGTAAGCCTTGTGTAGATAATAATGCTACAGTTTTATGGTCTGATACTTTCTCACAATGCATAGGGGCCTGAAATATGTTTCTTATATAAATGCTCATAAGCTTTATGAGGCTGCAGGAGCTCAATAAGTTCTGGTCCAGAGCAAAGCATGTTTTGCACTATATCTTGGACTAGAATTATTCAGATGGAGAAATTAGATTTTGGAAAAGAGAGAATTATTTGGAAAGACACAGGGGGTTCATGTATGTATATAAGTGGGTGTTATTTAAAGTTGCCCTGTAGGTGGAATGTTAGATTATATCCCGATGGAAAACATTAGGTAGGAATACCAGATTGGAGGTCAAAGCTAGGTGAATAATGGAAATGTTTTGTTGTATACCTGTTTTGATCTTATGTTTTGCTGTAACCAAATGTATAGGTATATATGCTGCCAATTTTTTAATTGTTTCTTTCCTTGTTTTTCTTTGATATGGAAAGTCTTAATAAACAGTTCTTTTAAAAAATAGAACACAATAGAATTGTTACATTTTGTCTCTCAACCCCATGCATTTATATTTAAATAGTAGTTAAGAAGTATCAGTTGAATCTACTGAGATGGTGGGTACCTCGAGTCTGTCCCTATTTTGTGGAAGGAATTCAAATGCATACTGGAACTTAGGGTTTGCAACAGTTAAACTAGTTAAAAGGGCTCTGTTGCCTATAATCGATACCCCCTGTTCCACCCAACCCCAACTAGCAAAATATCAGCCTATATACCGCCGTCGACAGTCTACCCTATGAAGGCCAAATAGTAGACACAACAGCCCAACGCTAATACGTTAGGTCAAGGTGTAGCATATGTTGGGGAAGAGATTGGCCACATTTTTCATGATAAAAAACACGAATTGCACTATGAAACACTGCATGAAGGTGAATTTAGTAGTAAAACAGATAAGAGTGTCTGTTTTAACAACGCTCTGGGACACGTACACACCGCCCGTCACCCTCCTCAACAACAAACAACAACTTTTATAAACAAAGACTACTTATACTAGAGGAGGCAAGTCGTAACATGGTAAGCGCACCGGAAGGTGTGCTTGGACTAACAAAGAGTAGCTTATATAAAGCACCCAGCTTACAACTGGGAGATGTCGCATTTAAACCACGACCTTTTTGAGCCCAACAATTTTTAGCCAAACAAACCTACAAAACCCCAAATAACCTTTAACCAAAACATTTTTCTCGGCTAGTAAATGAGATTAAACACCACCATCGGCCTTACAAGTACCGCAACGGAACAATGAAAGAAAAATGAAAGATTTTAGCGGGTTTGGAAAGTGACAGAGAAATGCACTGAAACATGTTAAATGGACAAATAACTAAAAAGGGAAGCCGTATAAAGCAGGTTCCGGGGTTTAAATGTATGGTGTTAACTGGCCACTTCTCATATGAAGGGATGACAACAACCATGTAACCTCAGGGGCAGGGCTAAATGCTCAGTCCTGCATGCAAAGTATTGGAAGACACAAGATCTACCCACTCTGGAGGAATGGCAGATGAAGGTGATGGACTATATGGAACTGGCGGAAATGACTGGCAGAATCCGAGACCAGGGAGAAGAGTCGGTGGAAGAAGATTGGAAGATATTTAAAGACTATTTACAAAAACATTGCAAAATTAATGAATGTTAGAATGATGTTGGATAGAAAGTAGGTGGTTTCTAGCTGTAATACTATAAGGGAATATGAAAAATGGATTACTAACAGGTAAAAATTTAATGTTACAATATTTTAAGATTAAAGACTAGGATAAACAAAGAGGGGAAGGATTTGCTGAACCAACAAACCGAACTGGAATACAAAAAAGGGAGGCGTGAGGAGGTCCGGGAAACAAGCTAATGAAAAATAAGTAACGGAAAGATTGAGTTGTTTTTAACTATTTTCATTTTGTATTTTTCTTTTTTTATTTTTATTTTGTAATATTTTGAAAATTTCAATAAATATCTTATAAAATAAATAAATAAATGCTCAGTCCTGCAGTATCTGTGTTGGTTCCTATGGTGACAGAGCTTGTGTTACATATCCTTTGCTTGCTTCCTGATAGACTTCCTTGATTGTGCCTCATCTTGTCCCTGCTTCTGTGCTTTCCTTTAACCCTTGTCACCTCCCTGGATGCAGCCTCCACCCACATCCTTGCCCACAAATCAGCTTCGTGCCTTGCTGGTTTGCTCAATGCCTACTTTGCTACTGCTTACTGTCAATCCAGCAGAAACTCAAACATTTTACAAGACTCCTCATCCATCAATGAGATACATGTCTTTCTGTATGTACCACAATCAACCAGGAAGTTTCTCTTCATTTTATTATCCTGTTGCCTTCATATTAGGGTGGCCAGGTGGACTGTACAGAGGTCCTCTTCTTGAAGAGCTGTCCAGGCCAAGTGTAGTTGAAAGGACACCTGGTCACAGTCTTCTCCACTATGAGATGTACTGTATTTCTACTTAAGTTATAGTAATTATTTCTAAAATAGCATCACTATATATTACATGTGCCAATTTTATGGGAATTGGTGTCCTCGCCTGTCCTTTCTTTTGGACGATGCATTTTATCTCTCTCTTTTTGGTGTAAGTGGTTATGCTATTTCACCTTTGACTCAGGCCTACATTGTACAGTGCCCTTACACCTTCTGAGGTGCTCATTCTTCCAGCTGTTCCTTTCCAAACTCAGCCCTTAAAAAAAAGGGACAGCAATGGTTCCATAATTGCACTGTTGAGTAAATTCCAAATACAGAATTTCTTTCTCTTTAATGCAAAATCTAAACTAAGGACGGGTGAGACTGCATAAATTGGTTACTTAATTGTTGGTGTTCTGGAGTGATACATTTTCTCTTTTGGGCACAGGATGGCAGTAGAACTCTTTTCAAACACATGAACTATTATGGTTTTAACTGCAAGGAAAGGGGTTTGTCAATCTCACTATGATGAAATCTTTCTACTCTGTCCTTCAAAAGATGTACTGATGAGTATCTTTATTGGCCACAGAAGAAAGGAGTAGGTAAAATTAGTTTTTGAATTTTATAACTTGCGTTGAACAGAAAGAATTTGGGGGAATTGCAAAATCTAGTAGGATCTAGCCTGCTTGGACTTCTCTGAGCATGCAGTACTGGTCCAGATGTTCTCCTCGACTCCTTTTGACCTTAGAGCACTTCACTCATCTATTACATTTACAGTGGTACCTCAAGTTAAGTACTTAATTCGTTCCGGAGGTCCGTTCTTAACCTGAAACTGTTCTTAACCTGAAGCACCACTTTAGCTAATGGGGCCTCCTGCTGCTGCCGCGCCGCCGGAGCCCGATTTCTGTTCTTATCTGGAAGCAAAGTGCCCCCCCATGAAGTCTTTGGAACATCACTTTAGTTCCTGTGTGCTAATGAAATGTGCTCTGTAAAGAAGGCAAAACACACGTAATGGAAAAAAGATCCCCATATTGGTCTGATTACTTGTTGTTGTTTAGTCGTATCCGACTCTTCGTGATCCCATGGACCAGAGTATGCCAGGCACTCCTGTCTTCCACTGCCTCCCGCAGTTTGGTCAAACTCATGTTAGTAGCTTCGAGAACACTGTCCAACCATCTTGTCCTCTGTCGTCCCCTTCTCCTTGTGCCCTCAATCTTTCCCAACAACAGGGTCTTTTCCAGGGAGTCTTCTCTTCTCATGAGGTGGCCAAAGTATTGGAGCCTCAGCTTCAGGATCTGTTATTCCGGTGAGCACTCAGGGCTGCTTTCCTTAAGAATGGATAGATTTGATCTTCTTGCAGTCCATGGGACTCTCAAGAGTCTCCCAAATAATGGCAGCATCCTGAGTCATGGGTTCTCTACCTAGAAGAGCATGATTATAAGTTGCACTCATTTTTTCTACAAGCCAGATTTGGGAAGAAAGTGTAGTCTGTATTTAGACCAGTGCAGTATTCTTTCCTTGCCTTTCCTTTCCTCTGTTTCTTCTGCTGTTTCTTATTTAGATTACAAGCTCCTTGGGGCAGATAACTTCCTCTTAAACTCTGTGATGCATTATGCACATTGATGGTGCTGTGTGAATGAATCAATGGATGCATAATATTCCAGGACCTGGTTTATATTATAAATGGTTAATGCTTTACAAATATTGCACAACACTCCTTCCTCTACGGTGAAGAAGAAGCCCTTGTGACCATGCAATTTTATCTGAATCTGAATCCTGACTGATGTCAATTGATTTGGCTAAAAGAAAAGAAAACCAACTTAAAATATTTAACAATAGATGGCAGTGTTGCATTTCTCAAATAATGGGTTTAATGGGGGAAACAGGGGGAAATATTCAGAGGTAGATTAGCCTCAGTTATTATTGTTGTTCAAAATGCAATTAAAATATATGGAAATTATGGAAGTTAATTGTGAAGTGACATTTGAGGTGAAATTCATTATACGTTTCCTTCAAATACATATCAAAGGACAAAGACAAAAAAACAACCTGGCAAAACAAGAGTCTTGACCAGCTGAATCCAGCTGGTAATTGATATTTCATTGAAAGAGGGAGTCCTGGCTGCTGTGAAAGAAGCAGTTGTGAGGACTCCCTGGACTCTGAAGATTTTAACAACTATCTTCCCTTTGCAAATATTCCTTTCTGAGACAAAGTGATTGAGCAGGTGGTGGCTCGGCAACTCCAAGCATTCCTGGAGAAGGCCAGTTGCCTAGACCCATTTCTGCCTGGCTTCAAGCCTACTTTTGGCACAGAAACTGCCTTGCCAGGAGAAAGGGATGGATAATTGCCCTGCTTCTCTTAACAGTGTCAACCATGGTTTCCTTCTAAATAAGCTGTTGAGGTTGGGAGCTGGAGGCATGGATTTCTAGTGGTTCCATTCCTACATGGAAGGCTGATTCTAGTACATGATGCTAAGGGATTGTGGTACAGTCCCATGATGTTTATGATATGGGGTTCTACATCGTTTTATTTGGTTTTTCATGCTCTTGAACATCAGTATGATTTTAAGGGCTACATGTGCAGTTACTTTTAAAAAATGCTCAGAACTGACCGTTAGCTCAGCATGTTGCCAGTAACCACTAATTGCCACGGGATCATATTCATCCAGTGCTTTACCAGCTGCACTGGCTCCTGGTGGAGTACAGGGTCAGGTTTAAGGTGCTGGTTTTGTCCTTTAAAGCCCTATGCGGCCTAGGACCCTCGTACCTATGGGACCGCCTCTCCAGGTATGCCCCGCGGAGGACCTTAAGGTCCACAAATAACAACACTTTGGAGGTCCCAGCAGTGGGTTCACATCCAGGGCCTGATGGTGCTAACCATCCTTTCTAGTTAATCCTTAACATCTGCTTGTCAGAAGTAAGCTGTCTCTGAAATTACTCATTACCTGTCCAGCTGAGAAAGTGATTGCTGTTCAGAAATGTATTATTACTGTAATTCCAAACAGATAACAGGGATGTAAGATTCACTAAAATCTATGGGACTTCCTTCCTTAGAACTGAAGCATTTAGAACTCCGTGGTCCCTCTTCTTCCCCTGCCCCCAAAATCTTAGACTTTCTTTTTCTTTAAAGCCTAGGAGGAGCTAGCTTCCTTCTCTTTATTATTTTTTTACAATTTTCACGATCTTATTCCTGAGGCAGAAGTGTCCAACATTTGTTTCAGTGTGATGATAGCATTAGAACGTGATTTTCTCTCATGTTGCCACTGATTTCTATGATTTCCACATCAAACAAACTGGGCTCAGTCTAGAGAAAATTAGGTGTCCTCATTCCATTAAAAACTACAGACTTGTCCACATTTGAGCATTTGTTGTTGTTTAGTCATTTAGTCGTGTCCGACTCTTCGTGACCCCATGGACCAGAGCACGCCAGGCACTTCTGTCTTCCACTGCCTCCCGCAGTTTAGTCAAACTCATGCTGGTAGCTTCGAGAACACTATCCAACCATCTCGTCCTCTGTCGTCCCCTTCTCCTTGTGCCCTCCTTCTTTCCCAACATCAGGGTCTTTTCCAGGGAGTCTTCTCTTCTCATGAGGTGGCCAAAGTAGCTGTTAATCCGGCTTTTCTCCATTTTAATCAGACCGGAGTAGTCCA